CCGGGTATGGGATGCTGGGTATAGAGCAGCAGCAGTGGGTACCAGGGACTGGCCGTAGGGTAGCGGGCACTGGGATGGGGTGGTGACACCAAGCGCCCTGCCCTGGGGTGAGGCGCTGGGTACCCGGCACCGGTACTGGGTGCTGAGCACCGCGCCAGGACCCAGCCCCAAGCGCGGGGCATCGTCAGCAGGCATAGGGTGCTCTTGTCCCAGCCGCTGGCATCGGGCGGGTGCCTGGTGGCACTGCCCCTTGCCCCTCTCCTTCCTCAGGGCCACGCCGGCCCCTGCCTGAACTTTATGCTTTTAAAGCAATAAATGCTGTGTGCGCCTGGCCAGGGCACCCCTCCTCCCGCGGGGGGCCACGGGACCCTCTCCTGCCATGGCTGGATGGGGTTGCCCCATCCTGCCCTCACGGCCGAGCATCACCTGCCACGTCCGCGGGGTCCGGGGCCCGTGGGGGGGGCCACCCCGGGTACGTGCATCGAGGGGAGCCAGGCCAGAGCCAGGCAGCCAGGGCCCTGCCTTTCCACGGTGGGAACAGCTCCCAAAATGCAGCTCCCAGTGCCCAAAGGACGCAGCAGGAGACCCCTATGGCGCAGCGGGAGGTACGAGCGCCATTTTTTTACCTCTTCCCTTCTGGAAAGCGCTTTGCTGCAGGTGAAATATTTTCAGGCTGAACTCATCCTCTCTGGGCTTTCGCACACTCGCTATGGAAAAGGATGTCATCGCACCCGGGCCGTGGCTGAGCTATCTTTAACTGGGGTTATGCAGCCATCTATTCTGTTGCATTGTGTGGTGTTTTCTCGGGACAGATCCTGGCTCCGGGCCTAAAACAGCAGGACACAAAATCCAAGTCAGCTGGTGTTTCTGGAACGGCCGGAACGCCGGCTGCCTTGCCATACGTTGGGTGGCATCGGCATCTCAGCTCTCCTTGAAACCTTTCCTATGCTTGGGAGGAGGAAAACTAATGCTGTTATCACCACAGGAACTTGGTGCCGTGGGAACTGCGTGATAATTTCCCTGCCACTGCTCTCCCATCCTTTTTTTGACTTTCTTTTGCAGAAGGTGCTGCGTGTGTCCATGGGCAGGAGGAGGCCGACGCTCCTCACCGTGGCATTGGGTGCAAACCCCACGCCTGAGCTGGGTGCTGGGGTGGCAAGGGCTGGGCTGTGGGAGGCCTTGAAAGTCTCTGCCAGCCACCGTCCTCGAGCTCCAGCTGCCATCTGCTGGCCACCTCTGCCTGGACTGGGCATGGCCACCTCAGCAAGGCCACCTCTGCCTGGTCTCATCGGCATGGTCACCTCAGCAGGACCACCTCTGCCTCGTCTCATCAGCGTGGTCACCCCTGCTTGGTCTCATCAGCATGGTCACCTCAGCAGGGCCACCTCTGCCTGGTCACATCTGCCTGGTCTCATCGGCATGGTCACCTCTGCAGGGCCACCTTTGCCTGGTCACTTCTGCCTGGTCTCATCTGCCTGGTCTCAACTGCCTGGCCACCTCTGCCTGGTCTCATTGGTATGGTCACCCCTGCCTGGTCTCATTGGCAGGGCCACACCTGCCTGGTCACCATGGCATGGCCAGCTCTGCCTGGCCACACCTGGGGGTGACATCTGCCTGCCCACACCGGCCCCTGGGCCTCCCCCAGGGAAGGTGCGATACTCGTGGTGACAGCGAGAGCAGAGGACATACGGCCAGCGAGAGGTCCCTTTTTGGAGACACCTTCTGCCAGCCCTTCCCCGTTCCTACTGGAGAACGGAAACCATTGCCTCTGGTGACATCTGCCTTGGGGCTCCAGCTCTTTTAAACTCTCGCCAAAATGCTTTTTCTCCCCAGTTTTATGCAGGTATGAAGGATGCCAGAGGGAGACTGTTTTCTTTTGATGGACACAAGGACTTTTGCTGCCTGCTCCCTGCGTTTGTCTGCCCCACCAGGATGAAGCCAGCTCCTCTTGGGTGGCCCCGTGCCACGTCCAGGTACCAGCCGCCGGTTTCCCTGGTCTTGCCCAAGTCCCCGCTGTCCCCACCAGAGCTTTGCAATGTTTCTCTGGTGGTTTAGCAAACCCTGCCTGCTTTTGGGGGTCCAGGGCTGGGCTTTCCCCCCCACTGCCGGCCAGGAGCTGGGGTGGCTGCGAGCCAAGGGGCTGGCAGTACTGACGTGCCGGAGCGGAGCTTGCGGATGGATTTTTTGGCTGGCCGGGGCCACGGGAGCTCGCTCACCCCCTGGCCGGTGGCCCAATGGCATGGGTGGGGGGGGGCCCCCC